GCATAATTTCACATTTTTGGGCTCATTTTGCATAAGTTCAGAATTCTTCTCGCATAAAACGACGGGGTCAGGTGACGAGTGAACAAAAACTACAGCAATGTTTGATTACCCAAGAGTTGTTAATTATTATTTTCATGTCACATATATGACAAAAGCAAAGGATGTGTCTGATTTTGAGTTGTTCCTTGTTGAGACCAGAGATTTCCACCTTTGCCTCATGTCCCCAAGACTCTTAATTTTTTTTCTTCTTTTAAATCCTTGACCTCTCAACCTTTGTACTCACCCCTAACCTATGACCTTTTGGTTGGTGGTTGGCAGGTGCTCTGGTGTGGTCTGCTCTTTCTTTCCTATCAAACATCTATTATTTTTATTTGTCTTCCTTCTTTTTTGTGTTTGTAACTCTCTTGTAACACCTCTAATCTTTGGCGCTTGTATGACCTTATTGTGTCGCAAATGCGTAAAACACTTTCTATAACGAAACTTAACTTTTGTCATCCTGTAATTTCTTTCAGTTTGCCTCTGTGGAAGTGATCGTCACCACAATCCAAGACCACTTTGCGAGCTACGTGAAGAAGTACTTCAAGAAAAAAGAGTTCCTTGTGATGGCTGTGTGCTTCGTGTCATTCCTCTGTGGCTTACCCAACATCACGCAGGTAAACATGACTGGAGAACGCAGCTAGTATCTCGGTCTTTCTACCGACTCATAATCGTGAGACTGCGGGTTCGGAGGTTCGAGCCTCAGCTCGGTCCGACGGTGTGTCCTTGGGAAAGGCACTTTACACGAACTTCCCACTTGGCTCGGTCCTATCGGAGACGGACGTAAAACTAGGAGGTCTCGCCCCTTAAATAACCTAATAGTGTTGATAGGGGCGTTAAACCCATACCATTTCACACACAAAAAGAGAAAAATTTCCGGTCTTTCTACTGGCACATTGTATAACTTTCAGCCCAGGTTGGCCCTGATGGGCAGGGTTGGAAATCTTTTTCCTAAATGATCTAAATTGTATTGATTAGGGTGTGAACCACTTAGATTCTACATTTCAAAAGATAATCTAAAAACAGCAGAGAACTGAAGACATGATTAGATTACGTTCTGTGCCATTTTTTCAGATGAAGTCTTATCTTGGAGAGACGTCTTTGATTAATCACCACCTCAGAATTACAAAGTTCTATCTCGGACTTTTTGGGGCCATTTTGAGTTACTATGACCACGAGGCCAGAAAGGAAATGTACTAGACTCTATCTGCTCTATCAAAACCGTAAGAATATTTGGAGTCGTTATCAAAATATTCAAAGAATTGCTTTTGAAAAAGCTTGAAAAATTGTGAAACTAAAAGATTTTGCCATCAAATTTCTCAAAGCTTGGTACTGAGCAGATACAACTATTTTCTGTCTTTGTTTGTGTCAATAGAAGTGTTTTATTTGTACTTGGTGTAACTGTGAACTGGACACATGTGGTTGCTTTTAATGACAAGCGGGCCAACCCAGATTTCGGGCGGCTGTTCCCGAGCGGAGCACTTAGTTACCTGAGGAGTTTTAATATGACCCGGTGCAGTCTAATACGACCCGGTGCAGTCTAATACGACCCGGTGCAGTCTAATACGACCCGGTGCAGTCTAATACGACCCGG